ATTGAAATATGATACTTGTGTGAAATCATTTTACCTATAAACAACATGATTAACCACAATCAACCAAAGTGTTAGGAATTCATGGAAACATGAAATCTATTTGGTTTCCACATTTGAGACAACCATTGTTTCTCAATCCAAATATTATTTACATACAAAGTCATGTATTTCAATAGTCTTTGTCTTGTTAAATAACACTTCACTGTTCTGTGCCTGCTGGTAAGTCTATTGTTGTCAGTTTCTTAGCATTTCAAAGCCACAAACTACCCCCTACATTTAGAGTTTTATGGTTCAATCTGACTTTACCACCTTACAGATCACCGAGAGTTTTCGCCATATTCAGTTTTGACCTCTGACCTCTGCAGTGCATCTGCCCCATAGCCTCTAAATCAGAACTGCAGCGAAAGTCACCAGATGACCCCAAATTTCCCAGTAATTCATTTACAAGAGTATCTGGTGCTTGTACAATGCATTGTACAATGTACATGCCAGAGAACTTATATTATTGGATGCTTTTGGGCAAATGTATATGAACTGTATGTACAGAATACAGACCTATTTTCAAGTGGTTTTCCATTCCTTGTAAAAATGTTATGTTTAGCTCATGCATACATGTACATGTAATGGACTATTAGTTTCATGAGAACATTTTATACCGGTACTTGTAGGAGGGTAATAAAGTAGCATTTATAAGATGGAAATGTAGTGGAACGAAAAGACAAATATTGGCAAACTATTCATGGGATATGTACTGTACATGTACATAAACTTACGTGAAACTTACGTAAAACTTAATAGTTCTTCCTCTTCCTAAAATGTAACATTAATTAATTTCATGTCATCTCTATTCTCTAGTGAAAATTTAAACAGAATCATGTATGTATCCAACACCAATGTAATACCAGTATCTAAAAAAAATGTAAATATTATTTACTTGGCATTTGTCTATATAATCATTTCTAGTATCTGATTATAACTTGAAAGTTTGAAACTGGATTTCAAAAGAAGATTTGACTTACCGGTAGTTGATTTTAAAATAAACTTTTGCAATTTTGCGTAACACTTACATGTAACTCTGATCTTTTTATTCAGGGATACTATCCCTGAACTTACAGCAAGCATACAGTACATTGTACCACCTGTATTATTATTAAGACAATTAGTTTATATCTACATTATTTCACCACAGCCAGGCATCAATTAAAATCATAGTTCAAGGCAAGGGAAACACAAATCACAGTCTATAGACAGGTGGTTGCTAAAGCAGTTTTAAAAAGTAATAGTACATGAGATTTGTAAGGCACTAAATCCACTTGAAAGCTATAATTGCTCAAGACACACAGGTGAAAAAAAAAACGAAAAAGAAATGAAACAAAGGAAGTTTAATTGTATTCTTTTGAGGTATGGTAATGAAATCATTTACATGTATATTGGCACATTTCACCCATTTATAATATTGATACAAATATCACCAAACAAAACATACATGTATTTACATTGTAGTTGGGCAGGGGGTTGCTATAGCAGGTTTTGTTGTATTATATTTATTTTATGGCGCATGTTATGGACATTTGCATTAATTGCATTGGCACCCATACCTACATGTATATATTCAAAACCCCTGAAACAATACACCGCTTGCCAACCGTCTAGGTAAATATTAATCTATCACAAACATTACTAAAAAGAACATGGCCCATTAGCTCATAGGGAAACACATACAACTGTACAGTCTACATGTAGTCTACATCAGGGACTCTCAAACTTTTTCCTTGACGTCCAGATGTGATTTCCATAAAAGCTTAAGAGGTCCAAAACAATGGGCAAATTTAGTTTACTTAATCACTTTTTTCTATTAACAATGTACATATAAGTTTGTGATATTACACATACATGTACGTGTCTTTACAAGTACCGGTATCCAAATTTCAAGAGTTTTAAAGACAGTCAAAAGTTTTTGTATGCATATGTAGGAATCTCAGTGGGAAAAGTAGCATTGTTTCCCAGCAATAAGCTGCTTAAACCAGTTAACATTGTCACAAATGGAGTGATTGGAAAACTAAATATTTTCTCAGGAAATAAAAAAGTGCTCATTATCCCCCTCGACCTCAAAGTTGGCAACCCTGAGACCCCCCCCCCTTAAAAAAAGCGTACAGGCTTGATTTGACTTATACATGTACAGTATGTGACTTGATGCCAATATAAATACATGTAATAAAGTACAGTGTAGTCAGTATTGATAACATGGAAAAACAAATTACATGTAAATACCAGGGCAAGACTTTATAGATGCCAAGTATTGTCGCTCTTAATGATCATAACACAAAATCAAAACAATAAATAGTGGTTTATAGTACTTTAGAGAGTCAAACTGGATGCACTTTCAACGAAGATGGCAATGCTCATTTACACCTCAAACATGTTTATTGTTCATGAGTGAAATAGTTAAATTATCTCATGAGGTGTAATATGCAGGGCATCATTCTATTATTGAAAAAAAGCAATTTAAAGCGTATGTCTTTCAAATAATTTAATTACTAAATGAAAAACACTGGATATCTGTTTAACCAAACAAATATCAGTATCACTATAGCAGTAGAAAGACTGCATTTAATCATTTTATTATGATTTGAGGTGAAATCTTATGGGGCTAGTGGCTCAATCAAAAGTGCATCTAATTTTAATAAATTTCAAATAGCGTCTACGGTTGTACAATGCTAGCTGCAACCATGAAAATCTCATAATATGTAATTGTGATTAATTTTCAAACGGGAATAGCTACCATAAATCTCTGTGTATAAGACGCACCTTTGGAAAAAACGCGGGAAGGACTTTCATTTAACATCGAGGTGCAGTTGAAGGCGACGATTTGTGCTTGTGAACTTGTCACAAATAAGAGTAACAATGTCGTTTTTAGAAGAACGTGTAAGATCATTAAAGGTAATACAAAGTTTTTGGAAGTTTTGAAAATTGGGTGGATAGTGATTCTTTACAACTTTGATATTTGGATGCCCCTGTGGATGTATTATAAGCACTGGAAAAAAATTTAAAAAATAAGCCCCTAAAACACTTCTGTTTTCGAGAAAAATTGAATATAACAATTTACCGGTGCTCCCGGTAAATTTTGATAGGTGTCAAATAGCGCCTACGGCCGTACAATGGTAGCTGCGACCATGAAATTCTCAGAATATGTACAGTAGTTTATATATAATTTCCAAAAAGGAATAGCTAATTGGTCGATTTTAGTCAAGCAAAATTGTTTTATAGCTTAATTAATATCATGACCTTGAGAGGGAGCTACCGTTATTCAATTTATTATACAGCTATAGTTTATTTTACAATTTCATAACTTTAGACTCGATTTAAAGCGCGACAACGATCACTGAATATTGTAGGATCGCATATGCTTCCAATATGTTCATTTGAACCAATTTCATGACCCCATACCAATACCTTGTACTACCTTTAATGTACATTAAAAACAGTAGAGTACCTAGGATAGAACCGTGTGGTACGCCATGTGTAATAGAAGAAAAATTTGAGGAATTATTATTACAAACTACATATTGAGATCTATTTAAATAGAAAGATTACTTTCAAACCAAGATGACAGACAAATTTGAGTGTTGTTGTACAACAAGTGGTGAGTCAACACACCTATTACTGAGCTGGGAGACATTGCCAGGCATAGCGCCAGGTGGAGGGGCATTTATAAAAACTTAATTTTTTTTTTTTTTGTACCTGTGTATAAGACGCACCCCCGACTTTCAATATTTTTTCGGCGGCGAAAAATTTTGTCTCATGATACACAGAGATTTACGGTAATCGGTCGATTTTAGTAAAGAAACATTGTTTTATAGCTTAATTAATATATTAACCTTGAGAGGGAGCTATACAACATAAAGAGTTTATTATTTACAATTTCATCACTTTAGACTCGATTTCAACCGCGAAAACGATCACTGAATATTGTAGGATCGCATATACTTCCAATATGTTCATTTGAACCAAATTCATGACCCCATACCAAAACTTTGTATTACCTTTAAAATATTTACTGTACAGATGGAAAGAGGAATATAAAATCAGCTAATGACAGTATTTTCTTTGGAATTTGAATTGGGAGCAAAATTATAAAATAAAAATATTGACAAAAGAATGGCAAATTGTACAGTCTTTTGCATCCATGCCAAAAAGAAAAAATAGGACATGTCGACAAGTGTCTGAAAATGTTTGAGAAAAGATGTCATCAAATTTGTAAGTAAAAAATTATACCAACGCATATTTTGCCTGCAATTTATGTCTTTTCTTACTTCTGATGGATCGCTTTTCAGGGGGGGGGGGGCAAATCCCAAATAAACTCTTGCACAAGAAGGTTAATTTTTTTTATGACTGCTTCTACACTCTTACCACATTTGATCCGACATCAAATATTTATTTAGATATCGCCAGAATTCTTCTGTCAATTCATTTTCTGGTCGCACCTTTTATTCTCACACTTTTGCCGTCCATATATTGGTACTTGGTAGTATCTGTGATTTTTTTCTACATAAATTCATGTGGAATATGAGATTTAGAATCATTGGTCGACTATCACACTCCTAAATTTTTGTGAAAATGCATATACATGTATGCATGAGCTTTTATTTGGACACCCCATCCGGCATCCCCATCAATCCGTCATCAATTTTAAAATTAATTCTTTAACTGATCGACCGATAGTAAACTAGGGGTCTATAATTATTGCTTCTGATTTTAGTGAATGAAACACACATTAACCATGTTAACAGTTCAACGCCCAATACCGAGTGTCAAATCACAAAGTCTGAGACTAAATTGAGTCGAAAGAAAGTCGAGAGAATAGACACAGAAAACACGCACGCAAATATAAACACCTGGGACCACAAACAAAATTACAAAACGAACATTGCAATAACAAATGTAACAGCATATGGGCATTGCAAATCAAAATAGTGTATTATGATATCTCATTATCTTACCATATTCATGGGATCCATAATGTGCTGTATTGTTGATAAAAGCGATCCGTCCGCTGCTCTGCACGAAACCCTGGAAAGAGAATGATTGATGTGCACGGTCACCGGTCCTGTGAAAGAAATAATAGGATGTGCAGCTAGCTCATCAGACACCTCCGATGACGTCACAATGTACTTTACATAAATTATTGTAGTCTTGAATGCAGAACGTTTCGGACCATGTAGGTCTACTATTGAGGACAATAAATACTTGTCTTTATTCAGTCTTTGTTTCTGTTTTACAATCCTTTAACTATAGCTTTAAGGAGGTTTACACCACACAGAAACACTATCCGTATGATATTGAGGAATTGTACGCAAGCCAAGCTAAAGAATTGAGGGAAACGGCTCTCGAAGTCGAACACTCCCGGAACACTCTAATGGAAAAAATGAAGAAAAAAAGAAAAAAAATCAAAAAATGTTTGTTGTAATCTTAGGGCTACCCCATTTTTGCTCTTGCTTTTATTCACAGTGCAGTTAACCCCTGACTCAAAGTCATTGAACAATGAATGTCAAGTTCGTGAACATTGAATTAAACAAATATCCAAATATGAACATAATCCTAGACTACTCAAATTTGAATAGATAAAACACGATAAACGAGGGACGAACGAGAGGGACACTTACGAGAATCTATTCAAATTTCATTCTGTCAGTGATTTCAAGGTCATATGGATGTTAATTGATATTTAGTTTGAATATACGATACTATATTTGACTTGAATTATAGTCCATTGACGAGTTTAAGGGTTTAAATAAAAAATAAAAAAAAATAAAAAAAATCATTTATTAGCTAAATGAAGAAAAAAAAAACACGGAATCGGGTGTTCATGACGGTGACAGGGTACGCCTCACATCTTCAAGATAAGTATAAAAGAAAATTATCAAGTGGAAAATTTGGCTGCGTGTGGCATCCAATGAAGTTGAATTCAGTACTGAGGGGTGACGAAGGAGGAAATAATCAAGAACCTTTCCTTCTAGGAAATAGTTGTTTTCTTTTCTTTTGTAAAGTTTCTTTAGTGACGTAACCAAAGAAGTAAGAATACTGTAAGCAGGAAATGGAAGGGGCTCCTTATTTATTTAGGAGAAGTTTGCTAGCTAGTTACCCATTAACTACCGAATTATCATATTCTTAAAAGCTTTAATACAGGGACCACCCGGTACCAGTTGTTATTGATTAAAAATTAGAACAAAAATTGAAAAAAAGATTATCGTGGCGTTACCAGCGTAGGTTGGATCAGGGATTTAAAACACCTCCCTGGTTAGATCCTGCTAACGCCCCCGCCCCCTCTGTATTGATGACGAACAAACAGGTTCACTGCGTTATACATGTAGGTTTGAACAAGTTCTGTACAAAGTCAGTCTGCCCTGGCCCTGGGCCCGTTTATAGAGAAATTTTTGCTCTAGGCACCTTATCCTCACAGCAACAGCAACAATAATTATGGTATTAGTGGCCGCCTCGGGAGAAATATATATATTATTTTAATATTGGATTTCCCTGCAAAAATATTTGATTACTATTGTAATAAGTGCATCGATCGAGCTATTCGATCATTGTACTTGACTTTATTTGATTTATGGTGTGTATTGGATCCTCTTTGCTTCAATTCTTTCCGGCTCTGTCTCTCTCTCTCTCTCTCTCTCTTTTTCTCTATCATTCACTCCTTGGGGATCTAGTGGGTGCATTGAATGTATTTTTAAAATTCTTTACATGATTTATATTGCCTATGTTTGGAGAATGTTGGGATGAGCTTTATTTTTTTTACCCACTATTTCAATGTTTCATCGTATGTGAAGTAACCTTGAGTCAGCCTTTCTCCTGTCCACATTATTATATTTCTCTTTTAGTTTACCTATTGATAATTCTTTTCTTTATTCTTTAAAGAAAGTTCATCATCAATCTTGAATCACGACTTTGCTGCCTTAAGTACACGACGAAAGCACTGAATTAAAACATTTATGCAATCATTTTTTGGGGGTACTTCATCGAAAAATGAGTTTATACTGTCTCGCGTATAAACGTGAGAGGGAGACATGCTGAAATGGGGAAAAGGGCCATCAAGTTTCAACTTTACACGTTGATCACCTTTCACGCTCCACTGAAGATGTAAAGCTGGATATGACTCACATTCTGGAAGCCACTCATAATCTCCGCCCAGTAAACGCCTGACTACGGCACGGCGTCCCCGTTGCGCTGCGTGATTGGCACTTACTCTATCTATGGTTCGTCACTGCATACCAGGATTTAAATTGTCGTTGGATTGTAATTGTATTGTGCTCAGTAACCGGAGGATTTCCCCAGTTCTTAGAGGGATTTCAGCTGCTACTACGATATTTAGGTGCTAGAAAGGATACAAAATTAATCGGAATGTTCTGGCTGAAGTGGTAAGATTCATGTTTTGTCAACGTAAATACTGGCAAATGTCATTTGAAGACTTGTTTTGAAATATTTTGCGACTCAAAACTGGTAGCCCAGTCCCATGTGTGATTTGTTTTGTTTGTTTATCTCATGGTCAGATGTTTAAAAAATTAAGAAAAGATCTAGATCTAGATCTACTTGTACCTTGTAGACCTACCTTGTGTTCGTCTCTTCCAAGAGGTCTGCTAGGAACTATAACTCGGCGTGACGAGAGTATACATCATTACATGGTATAGATTTGTGTATTTCAGGGGTTAGGTCTAGACCGAATTTTCCGTCTCTTTGTTCGTTCGTTAGCCTCTTATTGGGGTAGGGTCGGCTCTCTCTTTAGAGACGGAAGCCGTTTATACACATGTCCTTGCTAACGCCACGGCCAGTTCTGGTCGTAGCGTTTTGCCCCCAAAATCCCCCAAAATGTCATTTTACCTCGAGCATGTTATATTGTAAATTAGGCCTAGGCTATAATAAATCAGTTCCACTTACCAACTTGACTGAAATAATCAGTTTAATAGTCCCTTTTTAGGAAATTATGGGTCAAAATCGAAATCCATGTTGAAAAAGATTTTCAAAATGGATTTCGATTTTGACCCATAATTTCCTAAAAAGGGACTATTAAACTGATTATTTCAGTCAAGTTGGTAAGTGGAACTGATTTATTATAGCCTAGGCCTAATTTACAATATAACATGCTCGAGGTAAAATGACATTTTGGGGGATTTTGGGGGCAAAACGCTACGACCAGAACTGGCCGTGGCGTTAGCAAGGACATGTGTATAAACGGCTTCCGTCTCTAAAGAGAGAGCCGACCCTACCCCAATAAGAGGCTAACGAACGAAAGAGACGGAAAATTCGGTCTAGGGTTAGGTCTAGATCTAGATCTAGATCTAGAGAAGGTCTATGCTATTTGGTTTAGTTTTTGGGTTGCAGATTTGAAGACTGCTGGATTTAAAGTCCATGTTTGGTTGAGGTAGGTCATTCCAGAGCTTTACCACTTCAGGGAAGAAGGATTCTGTGAATGGTGTTGATGAGCACTGAAAGGTGGTCAACTGTTTGTCATGTGTCCGCCTACTTCTTGGTCTTTTCCTCTGGAGATAATCTTCTAGTCACTGCTAGTGGGATATCTAGTTCTGCATTAATCATCTTGTGGAGTGTAGTTAGCCTTTGGATTAGGTGTCTTCTCTGTACGTTGTCCCATTTCAATGTTGTCAGCATTTTGGTTACACTGGACCGGGGAGTGAAGTCGTTCTTTGTTCAAGTTGCTGTTTATTCAATTATAAAGTTACGATCTAGAGATATCTACCATGGACATGATCATTGGTAGATGTGCAGTAAAACCCCAGTATTTGCATCCTTGAAACCTGCACCTGTTCAGTGTTCTTGTGACATTTGTGTTGTATTGTTTGCTTGTTGAGCTGTTGTGATAAAATTAATATTATTGTTAACTTATATTAGCCTTGTAAAATTGAATTACATTCACAACCACTCGTACAATGCATGAGATCGAAAGGAAAACAGGTAACTGATATAATTATAAGTGATAAAGCCGTTCTCAGTCATAGCAAAGAACTTGAAAAGAAAAAGGAAGAGTAGAAGAAGATCAAGAAGAAAAAGGAAGAAGAAGATGAGGGAGGAAGAGGAGCGCGGCCTGCATCAAGAACAGAGGAGAGAGGCGCTAATAATTTTACCTTTTTGTTTGCTCAGCGCGGAGCTCAAATTCTCTCCCATGACGAAAGTCATGAGAGCCAGACGCCGATCCTATGGCGCCACACCACCTCCCTAAAACCTTGAAGACAAAAATAATACAAAATACAATAATACTCAATATTGGCAGTCAGTAGTTGGTTGCCCTTCACATAAATTGTTTGAAAACTTGGCAGAACACATGAGATTGCATTGTACACATGTAAATGAATAGATAAATATACATCTTTCAGGGCTTCCCCCATTCCCTCCTCTCTTTCTCTTTCTTTCCTTGTTTTTTAATCTTTCTCTCTTTGCCTCTCTCTCTCTCTCTCTCTCTCTCTGTCACTCTTCAAATCCTCACTTTTTACCCTTTTTAGATTTCTGTCTTTTAGGTGTTCTTACATCACTTACAAAGTTCTGACTCAGAATTTCCTCTCTAAAAATTAGAAACAGGCTCATGGGGGCCTGTTGGATTGAAATTAGGGTAGCGCTCATAAACCACTGTCAAATATGATATTGTTTCTTCCTAGTATTGTAGTTGACTGTAGGCCTACATCTCTGTGATGAATTTATAAAATTATTTGATGGGTCATTTTATTTTCTAAGAGCTGGGGATGTTCAATATGCCTGAAGGGTAATCATTCAAGTGAAAAGAGTGAAAAGAAAAAGGGTGGAAAATCAAACAACATGAAAAAAGGAGAAAAGAGAGAGAGAGAGAGTGTGTGTGTGCGTGTTTAACAACAACAAAAACTCCAATAGCAAGCAAACAAACAGGAAAAAAAAACCAGAGAGGGAAGGATTTTGGAAAGTGGAAGATGTGGAGGAAGAATAAAAATGAAATCTATGAAAACCATTAAAAAAATGGGGGATGGAGAGGGTAAATCGAGAGGGAGAGATACATGTAGAGCAAGAGCAAATATATTGGAAGAATAGAGGTGTAGTGTTGCTGGAGAAATGGAGAGGTCCAGGGGAGGTACCGTAATCTCAGGTCAAGTAAAGAAGGGAGAGGTAGGGGAGGGGGGAGGGGGAGGGACTGGAATATAAAGATTATAAAAAGAGACAGGCATGTTCAAAACCTGTCCTGCCAATCAAAGCGGTAGTCTGTCACACAGCTCTAATAGTTACAGACAAGATCTGCGTGACTAGGGAATTGAGAGAGATTATCCTATTAGACGGTAAGAACAAAGTCAGGAGGAGGGGGCAATCCTGAGGGTTGCTAGAAGGTCTGGATACTGTGCTACTCAGTTGGAATATATCTTGTACCCTGGATAGTTTTCATTGTCAAGGACTAACATCTCAGTTAAAACAAAAGTAAAACCAAAACAATTAGTGCCTTTGTGTGGGTTTGAATTACTTAGAGGTTTTGATTACTTAAACTTAAGTTTAGTTCTGCTGAATAATTGAGCTACATAGGCCTGATAAAAACCTGATGCAAATTGTTTTCCCTGATTTTTTTTCTTAGTTTTTTTTCCTGATTTTTTTTCTTTACCTGATTATTTTTTCTTTCCCGATTTTATCCTGATTTTCCAGATTTTTCCTTTATTTTCTCTATAGATTCTTCCCTATTTTCCCTTTTATTTCCCAATTTTTCTTACTCAAAGGGGGGGGGGGGGGGAATGTTGTTAGATGCCATTTTCCCCCTGTTAACAATTGCAACAGTTTTATGTCAAAATTTTATTGTCACAAACATTTCTAGTATGTACTGTATCACAGTATTTAGAAACTAACTTACCATTATTCAAGTCCATTATAATGTATTTTATTCTAGATCAGTATGATTCCCTAATGATTCCTCATTCCTGTTATGAACACGAGACAAAAATAAAGAACTGCTAGTCCTGATACCAACAGTTAAAAAAAGTTCTTGTTAGTCTAGCAAGACTTGCATAAAGTGCAAAACACCAAACTTGTGGGATTTTACAGCCAACACAGTGGTGAAAATCAGGGAAAGTTGATGATCTTCTTGCCACATATTTCAATCACATTTCTTCCTTTGCGCTCTGATAAGGGGATAGAGCAACGTCGATCTGGCGCTGCTCAGTGGCTGCCGGGCTCACGATCAATTGGGCAAAAAGAATTTCCGTTTCGGTTTAATAAAATTTGGAGTGGACTATTAGGCTATTATTATTATTATTATTATTATAAATGAGGATTTTGTAATGCTTTCCTCCGAAAAAACTTACTATTGGGGTTGAATTGCTCTTAAATGGTAATTGGGGGGGGGGGGGGGGGGTGATCATCGTTTTCAGGAACATAAATATATGGAGATAAAAAAAAAATGAGCGTACTGCATTTTTGCCACTCGTTTCTTCATCAGGAGGTTTAATTCATTTCTTCTGTAATTACTTCCTGACAAAGGAACAAGTCATTGTTTTGAAAAGTCTGACAATTGATGAATGTCTCATTCTTTCTTAGGCACCAATGCATTATAATATATCTGTTTCATTTATTGCATAATTGAACCAAATTTATTATCTTTTTTAGGAACAGTAAAGGTACTGTATAGAACAGAAAGAGATGTTACAAGGTGACTTTCAACCAGAATTCTTTGTTTTCTATCATGTATTCAAAATTTGACATAGGATTAATTTCAAAATGCTATTAAATAAAGAAGACAATGAACTTTTGGTCAGATGAGAACATGTGTACATCAGGTAGCATCATATCCTGTCTTCATTGTAGGCCTACCCTAAATACATGTATCGTATCCTCCGGTGCCCTAGGGACATCAGGCTCATTACGACCAGTAAACGAACAATTTCCTGCGCTCTGTCCGATACGGTCTAAGCGCTGTTTGACTTGAATTAACCAATTTAGAATCTTATGTGGACAGCATCCCATGATTGCTGTGGACAGACAACTTAATGGCGGGATCATGGTGACTTTTACTTTTCTTTATTAAAGATATATAGAGAGGAGGGTACAGTAGGTATTTATAATTGAATTTCTCTCAAGACAAATTAATTAATTCACTCATTAGAAGAGCGCAGCGTGTTTCTTTTTTTGTCTGGTCTGGGGGTCTGGAGTCTTCATTTTGATCAAGAAATAAGTTGACTGGTGTTTGCAATGTGCTGAAATGAACATAGTATTGGAATGGCTTAAAATGCAGCCTAATTAAAGGCATAAACCTTGCTTTTTTATGTGCTATCTCTTCAGACATATCTGAGATTCAATATATTTATAGAGCTGTTTGGTTTTGGCCTTCCTGTGAACATGATTAGAATCATTCCTTTTACAACTGTACCTATTGTAAAATGTGGCTGTATGAGTACCGTCTAGTCTACAGATGTAATTCTAATCTAGTGTTATTTATTTGTGTTCGTGATCATAGAAATATTATGAAATTCTAGCCTAGGAGTACAGTATGTACAGTAGGAGAAGGGTGTATACAGGGATAACTAGTCCAGCCTCTGTACCGCTTCCGTGTAGCACACCCAATCAGCTGATAAAATAACACACCCTCAGCATTGAAAGTAGACCTAGCCATTCCTCTCAATCTGGACCTCTAATTACAGAAATTTTGGGATTGCGCAATCAGTGGAGAGACCGCGCTGTGTGTGGATAGATGCGTGTGATAGAAGAATAAAAACAAAGAACAGCCTGAATCTGGACTAGGATAACTCATACTAGTGGAAAAACAAGCGATGCAGGTTGATGTATATATCCTTCATTTGGAGACAGAAGGGTGTTAACTCAAATTTTTATCACAGAGTTATGCCCTTCTGGTTTTGAACAGATGATATGTACACATGTATGTTATAGGTCATTGTAGCGTACCGGTATTAAATAAGCTGAACTGGCTTTGCAAAGATTTGTACATCACAAATTACTCCAGCATTGTTCTGGCCTAGTTAAGCTTGTCAGTGATTGGCCAGTTAAGAGAACCTAATGCTCTGTAATTGGTCAATGCAAGTATCCAATAGCAATTACTATCTTGTCCATGTATTTCAGATCATAAAGGTTTGCCAGTTAGGAGAAATAATGTTTTCTTATTGGTCACTCCTTATTTTCTTCCTTCTGCACATAATGTAAATTGGATTGATGTTTGCACTGTTGTATTACATATCTGGTACGAATTGTGTAATACCAATGATCTTTTTTACTTCAATTTTCGGTGTGGAGAGTCTCTTTAGACTCTTCAAGTTATCATTAATGACAATAACAAACAAAACTTTACCCACATTTTATTGTTTATGTGCCTTTGTGCTGCATTTCAATGGAATTTTAATGATTTGTTGTATTTCTCTTTTTTTTCTTCTCTCTTTTCTTATGTTCCTGCTACATGTAGATATGCGAGCTAGCAAACTTCAGTGACATGGACCGGTATTAAAAGGATGACACACTCTTTGACTTCAAGATTAAATGAGAAGAAAGAGCCGAAATGTTTTTAGAAACAAATTCTATAACGTTTGTGATGGGAGCTCACTTGTGTTCCATTAGGATGTGCAACAACTTTTGCTTCTTCTGACTTGACTGAAATTTACATCACTGCTCTGACCTGAACTTTTACTCGGAGCTTTCATGTGGGACCAAAGGATACACGTACATGTAACACACTTCAAACATTATTTGGTTATCATGAGCCAGAAGAACATAACAATGCAGTTTGAAAAAACAACTTTGCTGACGACGTTCACATGTGAAAACGATCGTTCAAATAATTCACTAAGAAAGTCTAACGAGAGAAGGACGACTTTATCATTCCACGACAGTACTGTACCAAGAACTTTCACCACGAAGAGGAAGATGAATCCAAAGAACAATAATGATGTTGGGTGTTGGAGGACAGCTTGCCAAACGTGGAGGAGAGGTTGTACATGTACATCGAGGACATACAGTCAAGCAGTCACACTTTTTGTACTATTACTTATTTCAGGTAAGTTAGCTTTTGTTGATATTTGAAGTTGATACATTTACAGGTAGTATAATGTACATGTAATACAACTTTCCAGAAAAAGTTTGTTTGATTAAAATTTACTACAAGTGATAAAGAAAATACATTGATGTTGTATAAAAGTAAATTATGGTTTGAAAAATGATTGATGAAATACAATCTCTCTCAAAGCTTATTACAGGTAGTTTCCCATGTTAAGAGAAAATTTTATTCCACTTTCAATGCAGTCTTTACAAGTTAAGAGGAGAAAATTCCCCTTGTTTATTTTTCATTTTTTAATTGACATTTATATACCCGGTACATGTATGTTGCAGATTGTGCATTTACGTGTATATGTCACAGTTCACAATAAACCAAGCTTGCATCTCCTTGACTATAAGATTATCAAGGGGAGAAGCACCTTTGGAGTGAGTTGAATCAAACAAGCCGAGACCAAGCTAAGGTAACGCAAGCAACAGCCCCATAATCATAGGCCTGATCTTTGGCTCCACTCCCTTCATTTCACTGCCCAAGAAAATTCAGGGCTGAATTTACCTGTACAGTCATCTCTGAACCCACATTGATTGATAAATTGATGAGGATAATCATCTTTTAAAGAGGACTAACCAACAAGACGGAGGGCTTTTAATAATGTGAATGTTCTTTAATGCAGGACTCAACATCAGCACAACCGCAGCAGAGAAATACATCGACATCGATGCCTACATCAGATACAACTCCGTCTCCAACGCCAGCCTCAACCAGCTGAGGGGTGCGGAACAGGTGTTAGAATTCAGCTTCCGGTACTGCCATGACCCTGGGATGCTGATTTACCAGGAGGGGGGCAACACGGAGGCCCAGAGGGACCTGTTCTTCGCCCTTGGGGTCAATAATCAGAGGCTGTACCTGGAGTGGAAGGTGGAGGCTGATTCACTGGTGGAGGTAATGTCGTTTAATTTTTTGCTCTATTGCTAGTGTTCCACATTGGCAGGCTTGTATAGACTATAGGCTCTTAAAGCCTGTCTGTACTAGTTTGGCCAGGAGGGATTAGACCACCCAGCATGGTCACTGACAGGTGTTTATCTATTCAACTCAGCTCTCACTTAATATAAGAAAAAGAGGATCATGGGGGACCAATGGGTACCGCTTAGGCATTGTTTTCTATATAGATTGAGGGAGCAAGTAGCTACAAGTAGTGCAGTGGGGCTTTAAAGCATTAACATGCATGCTGTAGCACAAGATACCTCACTTCTGAAAGCAACCTTTTAACAGTCACTCACTTGGTGAACTACCAGTTGAGAAAGACAACTTGGCTCATGAGATCTCCTTTTATATTATTTTAGCAAAATCTTGTAAATTATTCTAAGATTCTGTATTTGGTACCCCTGTCACACTGCGAAACCTACCCCTAAAAGATCGATACCTAATAAGTAATTGTTTTCTTTAGTCTATTGTAATTGTCAGTGTGACTGGGATATGATGCTGGAGAACCAATAGTTGAGTACATGTATATAAAGAGTCAAAGCATGACAATGCTTGCTATCTCTTATTATTATACCTCTAAAGAATGTTGAGGTAAACAAATATATAACTCTTTATGTTATATTTCCTTCAAACTTTCTCTTTTAGCTGTATATTGGGGACGGTACATTACAACCTAATGTGACTTACAGCGTAGCCATCTTCAATCTTGGTAGTGCCTTCCCCGGGACGACCTTTGCCACCATCAACAACATGGGAGCACCGGTCAATTACTTGACCCCCGAATCTCAGAGTGCCCTGGACGTCAGTCGAATACTGGGAGAGCTCTACATTGGAGGCTACAGTGATATCAACGACTTACGGGTAAGAATTAAATTTACTGTAAGGAAAGAAGATGCCTAGGAAAGTGCAAAGTGTTCAGTTCAGTCCTGCTTTGGGATGCTTGTGAATGGCAAATGTACGATTCTACCCAGTGGTGCAAAATTGTTCCATTGTTGACTATTTCAGGGTTGTACATGTAGGCCTTTTATAATGTAAGAGCTTTTATAATGTCTGCTGTATTACACAGCAAAATATGGAAGGGAAAGTTGGTAGTTTTCTCCGTCTGTAAATTTTTTCCTAATATCTTCAAGACTTACTGAACAAACTAACAATCGTATTGCTTTGTTATTATTGTTTTTATTCAGTTGTGAATCTGTAAATCTTTAAATTGAAGTCAAAATGTTCCAGGATTTTTCAAATGACATTGCTATTGGTCTGTAATTTGAGTTGAGATGGTAGTACTAATGTTTTCTATCATACATGCTCTACATTTGTTGTGTGTATATGAAAGCTTTCATTGCTTGTAAAGTTGTAACCCTTGTCTGAGAAATAGCAAGGGATGTCCACTTTATCAACTCCTCAAGAATGGAGTTGTTTGTTGTGACTATTGCCCTCAATACCTAGAGTTCTGACTCAGAGTGAACTCATTGTTGTCAGCCAGATCAGCTCCACTGACTGACTGACTGACCGGTCATCCCAAGGGTTTCTCCCTCTGACACTGAGGTGACCAAAGGTAACCAGTGTTGAAATCTTGGTATGGTCAAGTGCAAAATACCATTGACCGAGATAGCACCTTGTTGAAACCTTTTGATGTGCTTTTTAGTATACAGTTTTAATACAATCCTATGTTTAGACGAAAACAGGACTGATTCTGAATTAAGATTTCATTTAAAATGATGCTCAAACCTGTGTTTCGCTTGATAAAGTTATATACCATGTTCATACTAGGAAAATCAATCCTTATCATGTAGCTATACAGGTTTCGTATAGCCATACAATGTATTACGGTAGTCTGAATGGAAGGTACATGGAAAAGCACCTGCTTCAAGGAACCTTTTTGTGACAGGCATTCCACATTTTAAGGTTTGGCTCAATAACATTTGATTCAAAGCCCTTAAAAGTATATTTGGGCCCCGCCTGTTTTATAAAACTTGATATCGATAACAAGTTACATGAACAAGCTACTGTTATAAGCTACTGAAATCATGGCATCTGATTGACCGAGAGCAAATTTGTCATAGAAATTATTAAGCAGTTGTTATATAGATAACACTTTTTATGAAACAGGCCACAGATGCATTTAGTAGAAAAGACAAAAATTCTGCACACAGTGCATCCGTTTTTGTTCCATTAACATATTGCATTAGATACCAGGAATTATTATAAAAAAAAAAACTTTAAAATCTTCAAATTGGCAACACAATAAGAGGTTCAAAATCATCGCTTTTTAATACAAAATTAGCCACTTTGTCCGTCGCAAAGTATTCCTTCCCATGGATATTATTTGCAGAGATAATATATTTTATTAGAACAGAGTAGCAATAAAAGAAAGTTGTTATTGTTGCCACTTGAAGAACAACATATGATTAATTTAGCCCTAAAATTGAATCCTGTACTGAAAGGGTTAAACTAAAGGGTCGCACTCTCACCAATCCTACCTTGTTTGTTGTACAAAAATACATTTGAAGTTCTCACACACATGATATCTTGCCAATGGCAATTGTTTTAGTTTTAGATTTTATAGGAGACCATTAAACAGTGGATAGTCATCATGTGACTGTCAGGACACATTTCTTCTTTGTTTTTCCTTAGGCAACAGGATGTCCATATCAAATGAACATATTCATAGCAAAGTAGTTCCGTTTTAAAAGATCATACATACATATTTTCTAAGGTACAGATTATAAAACAGTGGATAGTCATGTGACAGTAGGCTCACTTTTCATTTTTCCTTAGGCAACAGGATGTCCATATCATATAAAGATATCTATAGCAAATGAGTTCCGTTAAAAAGATCATACACACCCTGTATGTAATGATATATACTTTCTATAAAGGTACAGTGCATGATGTAGCACGTCTAGATGTACGCCTACTCAAGTCTTTTCTATCAAGTTGAAAGCATACTGTATATAGTTAAAAACTTAATTATTCATACCCTTTAAACAGGTTTTGTAATTTTTGAAGTATGTGAAAAAAATGATTTTTCCCGATTTATTTTTCTTGAGACTGTGAAGTTGTAAAGCTCGTAATCTAAAAGTATTCAACAAAGGCCCTAATTCAACCAGTCCACCTTTTCCCTGAGTTACAAAAAAAAACAAAAAACATCAAATTTACAAAAGATATGAATAATTAAGTTGTTAAGTGTAGGCTATAAACAAGGCCGCTATTTACCTTACCATTCTTTAACATTTTTTTATAGAATGAGTTTTGATAGATGTTGGTTGCAGAGGCAGGCGGGACATATTCCCACCTACCGGTATCCGTTTGTGGATGTTTAGGACCAAGTTACCTTAATATTGGTCAATACCCAAGCAGTAAGATCCTTATCTAGACAATGAAGCACATTTCCATTTAAAGAGGGATACATAGTACAGAGAAAAACAATATATATCAAACAATTTTGGTGGCTACTCTTCAAGCTTGCTTGCATGAGACTCTAGATGCAATTTTTTTGTGGCTTTTTTAATGACTTTCTGGGGCTCTTTTGGGCATTTCGGGGGCTAAGTCGCCCCGAGCCCCTGTGTATTTTTTCCCTGACATAGTGCTCACTGGTAATTTTCATTAACAAAAAGAAGAAAAAAAGAAGCAAATTAAACCAAGTGACCAGATTGCAACATAATTCATGTACTTTTTATCTCTATTACTCATGACTTTGAGGGCTATCCCACGATGATTCAGAAGAGTGGAAAAGAGGGAGAAGGGGGACGTGACTTCACGAAGAGTGACATTTTACAACAAGATTACCAGCAAAATATGATTAGGACAGGAAATGCATGTGCAATGTTCTCCCTTGGGAGCCAATCACAGCATTGCTTCCACTCTCCCTGTACGAAAGTGCATGAGTGGAGGCGTATGGTGGCCATTACACTGGTTGTGATGTGCTCATCCATGTTAAAGATAGAGTCAGACATATTTTGGGATTCATGAAGAAAAAAAAAGGGGGGGGGGTATAAACAAATAAAAGAGCCCCCGAAAGTCATAAAAAAGCACCCCCCCCCCCAAATTTGCATATAGTTCAATGCAAAACAAATTGAAGAGTGTTCCTCTCATGCACGCAAGCTTGAAAAGTAGCCCCCGAAATTTTAAAAATATTTTTTTCCCTTCCCTCTCCAAAATGACATATTTCTAAGCTTTCAATATGGTAAATTAGGGAGAATTAGAGTAGAGGATGTCTTATTCAAGTGAATACATTTTAAAGGGGGGTGTAGCATGACGGGACTATGCGTCTTTCCCGTGGCCTGACTCAGCGCCAATCGGGTATAATACGACAACGGATGACGCGGCCGCAACATTCACGTGCGTGCAACATACGCGAAACCAAAGCCTGATAGGAGAACTTCGGTCTGTTATAGCGGGCGCTGACCATGTAGAGTACCGTTAATCAAGTCCATTCGTTTATGTGCAGTTGTCCAAAATAAGACGTACATGTACATGTAGATGGCGTTAACCAGTATTTGCCAAGCTACGTGTACACCACCTTTAAAGACAAAGAGCAGGCAGTTACTGTATACATTTTAAAAATGAATTGTAGTACTAAGGCTTGCATGATGGTAAAGGACTTCTGACTGTAGTGTTAAGCACAATACACATTTCTGCAAGGGATAATTGACCCACAAGCCATCGATAACATACTTTGGCCCTATCATCAATATATTTTAATTTTTACATACATGTATGTATACTTCTAGTAAGGTTTCTCACTTTTTGTAAGGTTTCTCGCTTCTAATATTCAAATTCTTAGTACAGAGGATCTATAAAAGAAAAGTTAATTGGAAGTCGATTCCTTGCAAATGACACTGAAACTAGTCGAGCTACCGGTATGTACTTTAAGGGGCCGGGGGAGGGGGGGGGGGGTGAGGGAATGCAAAATGTGGGACCATTTTTTGGAGTCAGACGTTGGGGGATGTTGGAGATGTCAAGTCTAATTTGGAGTCTAATAGAGATGGGGTTTGTTTGACAAGTTTAGGGTTGGAACCCTAACCTCAGGAGAAACATTAGCTCACCAATTATGCAACGTGATGATTAGGGTTTTTTGAGAGAGTGCACAACGATGAAAAGCTTGATGTTTAGAAAAGAGGTCAATTACATGAAATAGTTTTTGTAGAAATTAGGGAGATACAAGAGAGGAAGAGAAAGTGATAAAGAATGCTTCCATGGGGAGATATTAAACAGGGAAGAAGCGAAAGAAGAGAGAAAACACAGAGGGGAGGACAAGAAAAGTAGGAGCTAACAGGTATAGTAATGAGGACAAACAGGAGATCTCCAGAAAGATACAGAGAGGGAGAGAGAGAGAGAGAGAAGGAAAGAGAGAAGGAGAGAAAGAGAGAGAGAGAGAGAAAAGGGGAGATAGGAGAAAGAGAGAGAGAGAGAGAGAGAGAGAAACTGAGGGTAGAGTGTTGGCTAGAAGGAGAAATACACTGTACATACGAAGAGGCAATATAAATTCAAAGGTTTCTAATCTAAGAATGGAAATATTTTACCATAGATTGCAGAATTATCCTCATCAATTTTTTTATTTGATATCACATATGATTTGGCAAGCTATGCTTTGCATTAATTGAAACTTTTCAATGTTGCATTCTCGAACCTCAAATATCTGATCTCAGTCTTGAGTCCAAACCATTGCTAATCGACGTGAAGGTGTATTTCATTTTCCAAAAAACCGGATCCATAATGCCTTTCCCAGTTGACCACAGCGCTGTATCAAGCCTGTTTAGATTTTCAGAAGTCACTGTTTTGCAGACCCAATTATGATGAGGAAAAACAGGCAACTGATGACAGGGAGATCGACCCTGGCATTAAAGTGCATTTAAAGGGAT